TTGGTTTGGAACCTCCTTTTGTAAGGTATTCACTGCGACCCGATTTTACCCAGTGCCAGGCGGTTTTATAAGCAACGCCTAAATAAGTTGCAAGAGAAACCCAATCTTCGCCACACCTAGCAGCTGATACAATTCTACATCGATCTTCTGATGAGTTTTTTTTGTAAGTTTTTCGGCTACATTCTTCAGCATCTATGAAGAGGAAAAAATTGTGAAGGACTATGTACATATGCATATACATTGTACATACATAAATTTATGTACATATATATTATTTATTTATTAGGGATATGCCATCGATAGGCCAGCAATACATTTGACATTGGCTGAGTGCACTGCTGTATTTTTGTAACATAAATAAAACAATTTTCTTTGAACTCCATTTCGCGAACGTTTCATAAGCCTATAATAATAGCCAAAGTAATAATCATAATATTTTGGCGCTTACGCTTTTGCTTAAGAGTTTGGCCGAGATTCTTCTCCAACTTGCAGGGTGCGGCTTGATGTTGTTACACAAATGGAGTAGCTACAATTTTACGCCGGTTCCGAACGGCAAATACGTTTTATGGAAAGCTTTTTTCAAGATAGAAATACACTTTGAGGTATTCCACTGCCTACCAGGGGGCCAGCTTCTCACTTTATTTTCTTGACATACATACGTCTATCTTATAGAAATATTTTAAGGCATATTTCCAAATAAGATTCGTTTAAAATCATTCTTCTTGCTCTTATTACTTCATCTGTTATAATTTCACCATGCCCAAGGGCGATGTTTTATTTCTTAAGTATTTTGCCTGTAAAGTAAAATATTTTTTGGCAGACAAATTCTTTATAGACCTTGTTCGGTTCTCGATATCTGAAAAGACCTCCATGTGGAATTTAAACTAACAAAATATTGATAGATGTACACTAGGCGACAAATGAAAGTGTACACGTTGTTCTAATATAATATTCAGAATTATTTTCATAAAACATTTTTTGCATTAACTATTTATGAAAATATAGTTCATTCTACAATATAAACCATATATCAAAGTTTCACACTTTACGTAAAGTTAAACAAAAATTCAAAAGATTATCATCAAAATTTTAAATTTTTTATTCCGAATTTTTAGAAAATTTTCGAGTTTGCAGTTTTGTAGCCCACTGAATTTTAAGTGAAGTGCAAGTTTCAACCGGCTACAACATAGCGTTGATTTTTGAGGAGTGTTTTTTTGAGGCTGATTTTGCGTTTTTTTTATATATAACAAGTGCAATTTGCAATAAACTGGGTTTCTTTGAAATTTATATGCTTAGGTGGAAAAAATGCAAAAATCCGTAAAAAGAAAAAAAAAATATTCTCCAAAATCCACGGGATTTTTGAAACTTGCACCGTTTGAAACTTACACTTCATTAGACCAAAATTGAATGGGATACAAAAGTGAAGTATAGCGAATTGAGCAAATCTTTTGATTGCCCATTCAAAATTATTTATACAGCCCCCTAATACGTAATCCTTTCATGTAGGCAAATTTATTTGAGGGGAACCCTGTGTTTATAGGCTTTACAAATTAGCGGTCGGACTCCAACATTCGCTATCGCTAATTTTGATGGATGAAAATCTCGTAAAAGTAGAGCAGGCGCCCCCACGCAACATGCAACATCTAGTTACATGTCCCTAATACTGCCAGATTTGGCTGATTACTAGACTGCGGATGTTTATGCAGAAAACGAAACCTAAAAATATGTACCACACATGTACACATAAACAAAATGTATACAAATTTATAGATTTTGCTTATACTTAAGTGATACATAGTTTCAGGCTTCTTTTTCAGCGAAAACCTCCGCAGTCTACTGATTACAAATCGCATCTGTTACTATTTCAAGTTGAGCATTTTAAGGACCGACTGCTTTTCATTTAAAAAATGTTTGCGATTGAAATGTAGCAAAGCGATTGTGTGAATTCCACTGCAGACCATCAAGGCAACGATATATCCTTGAACTACAAAGGAATCCCGACAGGGTTCCTAACAGCAATTCAAAACACAAGTCATCAAGATATCACCTTCGGTTCAAGTGAAGTGATGTGTAGTAACATGTATGAAGAGTTATGTATTCCTTTAGGATGGCCCAGATATGCAAAGTGGTAGCNCAATGGCTTTGCAAGATTTGGAGTATACCCCTAATGTAAATCGAAAGCAAGCACTTGACAACACTTGTATTTCGGTTCAATATACAGTATCGGTCATATCTATAGCACGCCATTTCAAAGTGATATTGTGTGCCACTTATGTTTATTTATTTATTTTTAAGAATTTTCAATTAAAATATAGTTCTTTCTCTAACAAAACTCATATAAACGCAAGTTTAACAATTTGTAGAATACTACAAAAAAGTGCAACAAATTTTTATATAAATTTCAAACTTTTTTCTGATAAAATTCTAAAGCACTTTTGTATAATTATTTATAAAAGTGTAACTTTCCTTTAAGAAATGAGAAAATTTGTAAGGAATAACTTGCTCTTTCCACTCTACAAACTATTCTATAGGGACTCAAGGCTGCATACATATATCTGTATTCGAATGGAATAGTAGCTTATGTCGGGAACCTGGCTTTAGTATAATGCGGCATTCCCTTTATTCTTTAAACGGCAAGGAATTTTTTGAGAAGACTTAATAATAATATTTACATGCTAGTATCAGAACTGTTTCTTGCACGTTTATTTGCCAAAAGTTCTTTAACGTCTCGGCGCCAATGTGTCATTCGCTATGGTATGCTGCGAATGCTGCATTATACCAAAGCCTTCCTTTTGACATAAGCTGCTTTTCCATACGAACACAGATATACATATATAATACATTAAATTAAATATTGGATTGAATTTAAATTTAATTCCTAAGAGTATTTTCGACTTACCAGAATGAGAAGATTGAGAATTTGGTGCATCATGCTCTGAAGGAGTAGTAGCTGCCGAAATGTCCAAGGGCATTGATTGCTGTACACTGGTCATATCAACTTCGGGTTTCTGTTAAGTTTAAAAAAAATATGTAAGTGAATTAAAAGAGCTTAAAGTTAAGTATTTTTTTGTTTGCTTTTAATTACAATTTGCATGTGAACATGTGCATGACCACCGTCTAAACTATCATCTTGAGGATGCGGTTCCACATCAGTACTAGTCGATTCTTTTAATAATTTTGTTGCATGCAGAGAATGAGTTGGCATTCCACTTATAGTACTGGTCCCAGTGCCAAACGACATTTGGCCCATTTGTGTGAGACTTATACCGCCAGCGGTGTTTCCACTATCCAATGACGTATTGTGCTGTTCTTCCGAATTTGTGCGATCGCCAGATCCTGAAAAGATAACACATGTTATGAAATAATGTATATAAATTAGTGCAGAGATAGGCAAAGTGGCTCCCAGGAGCCTTTCGCACTTATGAGCCGGCTTGGCACATTTATGTTCCGGATGAGGGGTAAGAAGAGCCAGCACGAAGAGNGGCTCCCAGGAGCCTTTCGCACTTATGAGCCGGCTTGGCACATTTATGTTGCGGATGAGGGCAACAACATGAGGCAGCACGAAGAAGGAAGAAGAGCGTATTAAAATTTCGTGTACTTGCTGGCTCTTTGACTTTATTAATAGCCAAAAAACTGCCCATCCTGTATATATACAACTGAGATGATGCATTGATACATACATGCAATTGCATGTATTTAAAGTTTTGGGTAGTCTAGTTTAAGGGCATTCTCGAAGTACTGAAAAGCTCTTACACCGTGCATCAATAAGCGCATATAAATGGANTGTATATATACAACTGAGATGATGCATTGATACATACATGCAATTGCATGTATTTAAAGTTTTGGGTAGTCTAGTTTTATTTTAAGGGCATTCTCGAAGTACTGAAAAGCTCTTACACCGTGCATCAATAAGCGCATATAAATGGCATGCATTTGTGTCTTCAGGTTTTGAATACGTACCATTGTTTGAGGATTTGCGAAGCCGCTTTCGTCTAGTAGCTGGGGAGGCTCCCGAGCCCAATGGCGACGGAGTTCGCCTTAACTGATGGTGCTGTTGTTGCTGCTGTGATGTTTGCGTTTGACTATTTTGTTGTTGTTGTTGTTGATGGTGATGGGACTGAAACTGGGTGTCGCTATGTTGTCCATGATGATGCTGTTGCTATAAAGTAAAGTATAGTCTTAGTGATCAAAGATACCCTACAAACGGTAATTTATGAGCGAAATCTTATAGCGACTAGAAAAACCAGTTTTTTCAACTTGGGTTTGGCCACGAAAAAAAAAAAACAAAAATCTACATATATCGTTAAAGGTCTTTTGACCCTAGATTAAGCATATAGATTGTGAAGAGCAGAGAGCACAATTATCTTTTCCTCGCCATGCGCATCTCATATTAATACCTATCTATCTAACCATAACGACCAGTATTTATTTCTGGACAGGAAATGTCAATTCAGAAAATGTAACAACATTGACCAAATGAGTTTTTTCCTTATGTAGATCAATGTTGTTCGTACCGAATTGATAAGAGGATTTTATTTGCATACATATTTATTATGATAAATTTAGCAGTTACCTCCCACAGCGAGTCACTCATGCTGCCACCACCAGCACTACTACCCAAGCCACCGCTCGCTACACCGCTGCTGCTTTGACCATTGCTACCAGTACTACCACTGCCCACAAGATCGGCGGGCTCATTCGATGATTTATTTTCGGATTTAGTTAAATTGGCAGGATCGGTGGGCATTTCAGCAAGTCCTTTTATTTTAAGCATCTCGGCCGTTTTTAGAATATGTGGTAACTGCTCTTGTGATACATTCACCTCACCATAGTACATAAAATCGACCATAGTTTTAAGATCGTCATACTGCACATCTTTTAGTATCACTATTGGATGTTGACAGGGGTTCGATGTAAACAGTGTCTATAATTTTAAAACCCAATTAGACAATTGTTAAATAACAACTTTATATAATTTAAAAACTTACTTGAAAATAAGAGCTGCAAGCAGAGAGTACAATCTTATGAGCCTGAAGTTGGCGACCTTCTGCTGCTAACGTTACATCCACTAGTGTTCCATTATGAAGCAATGAAGAGCATACCGAAATAAAATTCGGCTGATGATTATTCCAGCGCAAACAAAATTGTTGCACGGACATGGTCAATGTATTTTTGACCGAGGTCGCCGACAATAACTTTCTTGTTGTCGTCTACCACTTGGGTATTCCCTGTTTTCTTATGAAGCTCTAGAAATAATTGGATTTCCTGCATATAACTATTTCAATGATGATAATCGCAATGACCGCTTTATTTAAGACTCAGTATTTTTTTTTCANCCGAGGTCGCCGACAATAACTTTCTTGTTGTCGTCTACCACTTGGGTATTTCCTGTTTTCTTATGAAGCTCTAGAAATAATTGGATTTCCTGCATATAACTATTTCAATGATGATAATCGCAATGACCGCTTTATTACAATAAGACTCAGTATTTTTTTCTAATTTGTTTTGATATTTTCTGAGATACTCCCGGTGGCCTTCACATGGTCTAAATAAAAGAAATAAAGAAAACGAACACGTTGTATTTGGTAGCTTTGCTTAGAGTATTTTAGGTTATTTAGACAAGAGACTCCACTTCTTTTGAAACAGTCAATGTTTTTCGCCAATATACCAATTTTTAAAATTTTGCTTCCCCTTTTAAGTAATTTCTGCTGCGTATACACATTTGTTCTCAGTCAACACAAAAGCAATATAGATACGCCAGCTTTCGTACTATCGGTCAGCACCGACTTCTTATTAGACGAAAAATAATAACAAATGAAAGAACATCTACGTAACGAAATTTAATAGTTTTGCTGGTGCATATGTGTTTGTGTTTGGCATGAAGACCTTGAATGACGTCATTAGCGGGTATTTTTCTTTACAATGAAAAGTTTTAACTTTTTCTTATATTTTTATTTTACGCTCATACTAAGGTTTAATTCATATTTTTGTCTACATTTAAAATAAACATACGCCGTTTTATTTTGCTAAGTTTACTTCAATTAACGCACCATAAGCTGGGTGTATTTTAGTAACACAATTTAGTTATTTGCTTAACTAGAAAACTTTACAAGTATTTTATACATCTTTTGAAAGCCGGCAGCTAAAAGCTGCATGGCCGACTTGTTTGTTAAAAAAACGCTATTTTTTATCAAAAATTTGACGCGTCTACGTTGTTATGGCAAAGTTTTTCTTCAGCACTTTTCAGTCCTTGAACTTTGATGAATGAAAACTCAAGCAAATGATAATTTCGCACTGACGGGTATGTACATGGAAAAGCGTATCATATACATGCTAATTTTTCTGTTTTTGGTACTTTCGGTTAAAACCATATACAGAAATATAACCATTATATTAAAATCTGACACCAGGGATTTCAAAAATGTCTTAATTACAGCACATTTTAATTATTTCAACCAGGAAAATTAGCTCCATGGATTTATTCGTCTGCTATTTTCTTTTCCTCTTTTCGATTCATTCTTTCTAAATGCAACCGAGCGCAAAACGATCAAGAACACACGAAGTAGAAGGGGTGCAGTGTTCGTCTTCGTTTACATTTGCATATTTGCTATTTTTATTTTTTTTTTGCATGCACATTATTTAATTTTTTATAATTCAACGATTCTTCCCACAACTCTGCTTTGGTAACTTTTATGTTTTAACACTCATTTGTAATGAAAATAAACTCACTATATGGTCTTTCAGTTTAACACGCTTGAGAATATGGAAACATGAATACACAAAATTCAAAATGGCGCGTCCGCATAGAATTTTCGCTACAACGCAAACAGAAAACCCAGACGACGGCGTGTCTTTATTCGCTGGACATTCTACGTAGAAATTTGCATTTATCCACTATCCAAACTGTTTCTTTTAACTTCACAAAATCAAATATTACTTTTTTAATGAATTATCTTGCAGTTTATTTAACTTCTCATAAGTAAATCGGCCCTTTTCTTTTCAGAGGATAGCACAGCAAAAGAGTTAACACTGACGTATTTTTCTTTATGTAACGAATGAATGCAGCAGGGTTGCCTGGTATCAAAAATGGGCGGCTCTTGGGAATGCATCTGTTTATTTTATTAAAAAAGCGAAAAACAACAAGAATTTATTGAATTTGTAATAAAAGAAAAGCATTACTGGGACGTATAAAGTGCTTATTAATAAGTATGACAGCAATCTACGTAGTTGGAATGAGTTTTATTTCCAGCAGATTTGAATGCATAAAACTTTTGCAAATCAAATAAAATTCAGCCGTTCTGCAGCACTGAAACTAGCTTCTTCTTCTTAAAACAAAATCATTCAAAGCAGTTAAACAAGTAAGGGTGGGTAACTCAGCAAATTTATAGGAGTTGACTCAATGACTCCAACTCACTTTAAGGAGTCAGCTCATTTAACTAACTCATTTGACTCTTTGTATGTTACACTCATTCGTATCGTAGACTCGTTTTGAGGCATAGATGCGGTATAGCGGCCGTTGAGATAAAACAAAACTTTAAAGTGGGCGGGGTCAGCTCCTTTCTACTGATTTGAAAGGTGTAATTTTTTTTGTGTGCAAATTAATAGGGCGGTGCTAGGGGGAGGGTAAAGGTGGAATTTTCAATATTTTCTAAAGCTTATATTTCGAAACCTATTGTACCGAATTTCAAAATGTGGATATGGTTGGAAAGGCAATTGATTTGATATGCACATCTTTATATATCTTACATACATACATATTTCGAGAAAAACTAAAAAAAAAACGAAATTATAAGAATTTGTGAGATTTGACATAACACCCGCAATACAAAATACATGTGGTTGTTGTTGTTGTATTCTTGCCACCACCTTGTATAAATTCGCCTCGTGCAAAAACAAAATGCAAGACTTTGCTATGCTAAACACTGTGGCGAAGCGAGAGAGTTATATGGACAAATATGGGCCACTATGATTCAATTGATTCATGTGAGCCCTACAGCATCAACTGAGTTACTGAGATACATTTTTTTTGGACAGGGAGTCTGAGTTACCGATTCACTTATAGGAATCAACTCAATAACTCAACTCTGAGTTGAGTTACCCACCTCTATAAACAAGTAACGGTGGCTGAGAAAAGGTGAGTTATTATACGTGTTCTCTTACGAATTAGTGTGTTTACTAAAATTACGATGGAGTTGCTGGCATTTTTGCTATGTGATAAGAAACTTGAAACCTATGTATCTGCTACCTGTTCAATGTGCTTTGTTATGTGTGAAAAAATGGAGAGTAATTTCTATTGTCATAAACGCGTAACTGGCGTCCCTAAATTGTAGCGCTAACTGCCGTCCCTAAATTGACGCGTCAAGCGCATCGCACAATAACGCGGCGTTAGCGCAGAGCAAATAGAATTTTCATTTTTGACAGGGCGTCAGGTGTTGAAGTTGGATGCAGAAGACGGAAAGAAAGAGAAAGGTCAAAAAAGTGAAAACGTCAAAAATTACGCCGCTTTGGTTTGGGGATAACGCGCGCTGACATTCGTTGACAACGTTGACGCAACGATTTTGCATTCAACTTTTGCGTTCAACTCACGCAGGGTTGCACGAAAAAAAAGTTGAATGGCTAAAGCGAAGCACACATTGGCGCGATTCTGTCCTTGCGAATCCGCAAGCTCAAAAATTACAACAATGCTACCCATACATTTTAGTGCGCTAGCGCACACTTGCACGATTCCGTCGCTGCGAATTTTTCGAACATTCAATGTTCTCTATTGACGCGTTCGAAACGCGGCTTGCAGCGTTTTCAAGGCGTCAAAGAAGAAGAAGAAAGGTGTCACAGCAATAAAGACAAAGAAAAAAAAACGTGTAATATACAAAAACTAATAAAAACGTTCGTAATAATAGTATTTTGTACGATTTGGGCACGCCGAGTGCGAAAATACACGAAATAAAGGGAAAATTTAGTGAATTGTACATCGGAAATCGACGCGAAAAAATCGCACAAGTGTGCGCACGTTTGCGGATTCGAAGTTAACAGCCGAATTCGCAACGTATTCGCAACGACAGAATCGCGCCAATGTGCGCTTCGCTTAAATCTTGGCTGGCGACCAACTTTGTTGAATGCAAAGCTAAACAATGCAAATGCATTTTTGGCGAATATTTTGATATTTTTTTATATTATGATATTTTTAGCCATTCAATTTTTTCTTTGTGCAACCCTGCATGAGTTGAACGCAAAAGTTGCCTGAAAAATCACCGCGTGCGAAAGCCCCATTAGCGCTCCAATTCATTGACGGCAGTAAGCGTTGCATTTTCCAGACGGAAAGAAAAAAGGACAAACAATTGAAGTAGAAACAAGAATAAAAACCACAGGAAATGAGAAAACGTCAAACATTACGCCCCGTTGATTTGGGGATAGTGCGCGCTGACACTTGTTGACAATGGAAAACGGGACGCTTAGCGCTCCAATTTAAGCCCTTTTTGGGGTCCTGAAATCCCGGGATTAAGCCCTCGGGATCGCGGGATATAATTTATATTACTACCAAATTAAAATAACACGACATTCAGACACTATAATGGCATACAAGAATTATAAAATGCAACCCCACAAATAATGAAATAATAGGTGCAATCCCGTATTCCTCGGACTCGGACTAGTAAAACTGTCAAAAAATAAAAAATCGCTCAGAGCGAGAGAGTAACATTGAAAAGTACGGGATCGCTTTCTAGTAAAAAATGGTAACTTCTGCCAACTTCAACATAACCTCCAAATTTTGGTTGTAAATTTTTGCTTATTTTGTATGTAAACACACTCAGTTCACACATGTAAATAACTAAAAATACTTTCAAATTCATTAGAATCCACTTAAACAAGTAATTAAATACTTTTCAACATGAATTAGCAGACTGCACTTTTCTTTTGTTTACAATTTGGTTGCCAAACACACTACAGCTGATCGTTTGACACATTACCAGAATTTACCAGCAAAAAANATATTAAATATATGATCTGTCGAATTAAGTTTTTTTCCGTTATGCTGGGTAAGTTATCATGCACTTCTTCAAATTGTTATATCTCGGGTTCAGTTCATCGTAGAGACTTCATTGTTGACTCTCATAAAATAAACC